GAATTGAAGCCGAGGACCTCTGATTAGGCGACACCCAAAACTATGCCTCGCTGGAATTGAAGCCGAGGTCCTCTGATTAGGCGACACCTTAGAAATAGTTGTACATACCACTGACGCATTATCCTATAACACAAGCCTAGTAGTGCTTACATTTATATTTATAAAAAAATACCCGAGAGTGTTCGAAAAATTACCGTGAACAATATATTTAAAAACAAATTACATCATTTTTAGAATGTTACTATACTGTCCGTGAATTTTTGGAAGACAAAAAAAAGTTTTTAGACTAAGTTTAGAAAAAAATTACACGCATGACAAATAAATACAATCTTAAATGTATCGTTTATTGAAATTATGAATAAATTCTGTAAACTTTTATTAATTTAAAAAAAAACGACGGGTTGCACTCCGGGAGTGCCGGCAGAAGTGAAAACTTGAATATTAACGTTGTGCATTTTTGATATTTTGGAATGATTAGGCAATAATTTTGCACGAATTTCTTTAATTATCAGTATAAAAGTACTATCATATATGTGGTAGAATACAATATTTATTTATTGCGCTATCGTATGCAAAAATGCATTTTCTTCGCAATAAAGCTGCCACCTGGACGTCCTAGATACAGACTTATTATTATAATACGAAAAAATAAAATATTACTATGATTCGTCCAATATATTGAAAGTCAACAACCTTTCCAATTTTATTATTTTCGTCTTACGAATTTTCGATTGTCAGGTGTCCGGATGCGATCAGCCCACGTGTTATGACACGAGTTTAAATTTTTTTACCCATAGAAAAAAAAAGTGTACAACGCCGCTAAAGAAGTTTTCACTTCAAAAATTACTGATTTATAGAAATATTATTTTGCTTGCCGATAAGGCAGAATATGGCTGTACTGTACTAAAATGTATTTGGAGAACAACTTTGTAACTTGTATTCGCAATAAAGATGATTTGATTACTATGGTTCTAGGCTAATTGGTGTGTGTTAGAAACATTATTTTTTTATCATATGGGGGTGTATGAACAGACGGCTCACCCAAGCCTTATTTCACCAAATCGACATAATGTCATTGACATAATGTAAGCGAACGGTTTCTGGGATGATCTATTTACTGCACTGATTTAATAAATTAGTTCTGTTTATATTCATTTTAAATATTGGTATGATAATTAGAGCAACTCTGTGAAGTGGGCCAGTTTGCAGTCGGACAGGTACAGGTTGGAATGCGGGGTGTGACAGGGGGAGTTAAGCTCGCTCAATCTTTTCAACCTGTACATAAACAGTCTTATAAGTCGAGGAGCTTAACAGTACTTTTAATGAATGCTTCGTGGGTGGTGTTTGTATTAATAATATTAGTTACGCCGATGATATGGTGCTGCTGAGCCCTACGATTTGTGCACTGAGGAAACTGCTTCATATGTGCGAAAAATATGCAGAGGCAAACATTATCAAAAGCATTCTCAGATACAACTCTCTTAAAGGTGAGTTCATAGTGTTTCGGGCTGGGGCAGCAGTGTACCCTCCGTTACCCTCGATGACAATGAGCTTAAGGGTGAAGCCAAACGAGCGTAATTTTGTGAGTTGTGAGTCGCTTATTTTCGGTTACTTATTTTACGTTCAACTGAATTTCTGTTGAGCTGCCATACGAACGTAATTTATTCGGTAACTATTGAGCGTTAGTACGGGGTGTTCGTGTCATCGAGTGCAATGGATCCATTAAAATATTGTGTATTTACGAAGCATATTCAGAAGATGAGGCCAGAAAAAGAAACTGGGTAAACCCACTGAATAGTCAGAGGCTGATATGTGGACAGTTCCATACTTTATATGAACGTTTATGTGCAAATCCAGATATGTTTGAAGAGTACTATCATATGCCATTACGTGTTTTTCAAGAATTATTACACCACGCAACTTGTAACAAACTGTTGCTTCCCCACTCCCGTTCCTTGCCCTACCCTCACCCCGACCGAAATTCGGACGAGCTTATGAGCATTGAGTCGGCAGACAACTCATATTGCGTTGTCGTGTGGCACCAACTGCCTTTTTGTATGAAACCGAATGCAGCAGAATTTCTGCGACCGAAATTCTGCGACTCACCACTCACAAAATTACGCTCGTTTGGCCTCACCCTAAGGGAGTTGAAATTTTTAAGTATTTGGGCCATTGAGTCACTGACAACTTGTCAGATTCCGTTGGAGAGGGAACGTAGGGTGCAGTGTATCCGCGGTAATATGATGGCTCGTAGATTTTCACAGTTTAGTGAACTAGTTAAACTGATGTTTTTCAAAGCTTATGAAAATTTTGAGTATTTGGGCCATTGAGTCACAGATAACTTGTCAGATTCCGTTGGAGAGGGAACGTAGGGTGCTGAGTATTTGCGGTAATATGTTGGCTCGTAGATTTGCACTGTTTAGTGAACAAGACAAACCGATGCTTTTCAAAGCTTATTGTCAATCGTTTTACACGAGCTGCCTTGGGTGCTGTCACTGCGAGTCCAATATTATATTGCACTAGCGGCCCGCCCTCGCTTCGCTTCGGTGTAGAGCTGAAGTGTAAACTACAGTTTTTGTTCTCAGGCTTGTATTATACACAATGACATTTATCTATGATTCTTCTTATACCTGCATGCAAAGTCTAAGCCCGATCGGTTTAAAATTGACAAAGTTTCATACAAACTTTCATTCCCTATTTTATCTCCTTGGGGGTAGAATTGATCAAAATCCTTTCTTAGCGAATGCCTACGTCATAACATCTACCTGCATGACAAATTTCAGCCCGATCCGTCCAGTGGTTCGGGCTGTGCGTTGATAGATCACTATGTCAGTCTAGTCACCTTTGAGTTTTATATCTATAGATTCAGGGTGTTGTTCGATCTGTCGCGCTATTGCAGAGCTTCAATGTTTGCCGAGGCGCGTACTGTACCCTTAGCATGAACCAAAATCGAATTCGTAGCGTTTGCGAGTACGAAATGTCGGTCTATCACTGTGACTTTATATAAACAGAAGAGCCACATCGGAAGCAAAGTGTTGTAAACATTATTTGTTGTATGTTTAATTATTTACATAGTATTAATAATAGCATTAATTTAATAACGTTGCATTAAAATTACCTTTGTTTCAAAACATAATTGTCGTAAAAGTAAGTTACGGACAAATTATAACAATATGCCTGTCATTTTTATGACATTTATTTCAGTGACATCTGTCGACTTGGTGGAAAAGGGACCTGATGGTAAGTGATCACCACTTATTTATATGTATATATACTAGTGGCTCGCCGTCGCTTTGCTTCGGTGTAGAGCTGTAGTGTAGACGATAGTTTATGTACAAAGGTTTGTATTATACACAATGACTTTCTTCATAATAATGATAAACCTTCAATTCCAAGTAAAAAATTCTTTGCGTAGTTTAGGACCCGTTGTACCGAATGCAACATTGCTCATCCGTTCCGATTTGAAAAAATATTTTTGTATTGGACAGTGCATTTATCGAGGAAGGCTATATGTTACCAAGCTATGACCAGTAGCAGCGGAGCATCGATGAAAAATGTTGCAAAAACGGAAAAAAATATTCCATTTGTGAGATTCCATTGCGTGCGCTGGGTAAACGGTTAAAATTACTCAGTAAAATCATGTATAACGGAATTCTTCTCCATCAAAAGTTCTGTAAAAAAGTCTGCTACAGCCTATGTCCATATTTCAAGTTTGACTCACTTTAAACATTTTTGAAGTTATACTTCTTTAGCCGCGTTATGAAAAAAATATGAGAGTGAAATTTTAAGATGCGCGCGCATCACTGTAACACAAAAGTAACATAATGAAGTTAGCCGCGGGCGCGTTATGAAAAAATGATGAGAGTGAAATTTTAAGATGCGCGCGCAACACTGTAACAGAAAAGTAACACCATGAAGTCGGCCGCTAAACCGCACATTACTCGTAAGTCTCGAAAAAAAGCTTCCAACAAAATAGTAATAGGATCTCTTAGTCGCACATGTTGGGACGCTCGTCGCCTCTGATCACTGTTTTCATATTTATAATATTTATCCACATGTTTCTAGTTTCTATATTCTTAACACGTGTTATAATGTTATACAAATGCGAAATTTATATGTGCTAATAAATTTTATTCAGTTGTGATTTAAATTGAATATTATGATTATTTATTAAATTTTTCAAATTAAAACTGAACTTTATTGACTGCGTTGACTATCCTTTTCCAATCCTTTTATTATCTTATTGTAATTAATTATCTGCATGCAATTAAAAACTATTTTTAATAATTCCAAAAAGAAGTATAACTTCTCACGCGCGTACTTAAGTACACGCACCCATATTTTTTTAACTGTAATAGTTACACATATGGTATCGTGGACTTTTTTGTAAATATTGGTATCCTTTATAAAACTTTAGTACATCACTTTGCTCTATTGTCAATAACTTCCGCAGCGTACGCAATACGAGGTTATTTTTTGGTATTTTTTACACACAATGGGTTACATTATCGAAGTTTTCATACGGAACCCTAACTTGTTTGAAAATAAACTATAAGTAGCCTATATTAATCAGTGATAATGTAGCATTCAAATGGCGAAAGAATTATTAAAATCGGTCCAGTACTTTTTGAGCCAATTCGTTACAAACATACTTACATACAAACCTTTCCTCATTATAATATTAGTATAGATAGATCTGAGGAGCTCGATGGCGCAAGTGGTTAGCGCGTTCGGCTGCGATCGTTGAACTTAAGCAACTTTCGCAGTGGTCGGTCATTGGATGGGTGACCAAATATTACTATCTCGAGCTCCTCCGTGCTTCGGAAGGCACGTTAAGCCGTTGGTCCCGGCTGCATCTGCAGTCGTTAGCACTCACCAATCCGCACTGGGCCCGCGTGGTGAGTCATGGCCCAATCTCCCTATTCCATCCATAGGGAAGGCCTGTGCCCCAGCAGTGGGGACATTAATAGGCTGATGATAATGATGATAGATATATCTACCTTTCATTTCTAGGCAGGGTCTGTCCGTTGCGCAGCCAGGAGACTGCAGCAATGGGGCCGGACGCGATGTCACAGGTGATCACGTGAGGCGAGCCAGCCCGCGCTGTGCTGTTCTCTGGGTGCAGCGTGAACTGCTTGTCTATAACTGAAATAAAAGTTGGAGGTCAGATTTGTGGATTTTCTTTACGGTATTTCCTTAAATGTTTAAAGTAATGTTGACACGAAATAAATAGGCGCATCCGTCTTGTGTGGGCTGCCTACGCAAAACTCGGCTTTGCTTTCAAAATGAATTTAACAGCGGTACAGAAAGCCAGATTGTTCGATCAGTGTATATTACCCGTACTTACCTATGGAGCTGAAACCTGGGTTCTGACAAAAGAAAGTATCAACAAGATACAAGTCGCCCAGAGGAAACTAGAGAGGAAACTAGTAGGGATTACACTACGAGACCGCAAGACTAACACCTGGCTTAGAAAGCAAAGCGGGGTCACTGATGCCGTTAAACACATAGCGAGTTTGAAGTGGCAGTGGGCGGGACATATAGCCCGAAAGCATGGCTCGTGGGGTAAGGCGGTCTTGGAATGGAGATCTTGGGGCGAGAAACGACCTAGAGGAAGACCACAGATGCGTAGGAAGGATGACGTCAGGAAAACTGCAGGGACGAATTGGATGGAAGTGGCGCAAGATCGAACTAGATGGCGTAATTTGAAGGAGGTTACACCTACACCAGACTGGTTGAGAAAGGCTGAAGAAGAAGAAGAAAGAAATGTTGACAAATAATAATTGTATTCTTATAACTACTAGTTTCCGCTCGCGGCCTAATTCCACAACTGGGTTAATGGCCGATACAGACCAGGGCTTGTTTACCGGTCAATTTTGAAACCTAAATCAGTGTCAAGTATATTAGGAGCGTTTTATTTAGGTTTGGCTCTACCTTAACCTTAAAAAACCGGTTTTCCTAAAGCTCAGAATCAAATAAGTTTTGATCAATTTAGCGGTCTTTAAAGGGTTTCATTTCGCTCTTTCTGACGGCATCGATAATAAATGAATAACTTGAGTCACTAGACGCTAGCAAACGTGTCAATAAATGCACCAATCTCTCTGCATTAACAGGTTTTGACTTGATTAGTTCGAACAAAACAAACTTCAAGCGATGCCGACGCGTGCACGTGTCGCTCTGGATTAAACCGGTTTATTAAGGTTTTTACCGCTTTTATTTCGGATGCGCTCCGAACGAAACCTTTACTAAAAACCGGTATTAACCTTTATTTACCGGTATTTTCGAAACCGGTTTCAAGCCCTTATACAGACTTTCAAAACGCGACGCGACCTGACGCTATGCGATGCACATTTTCTATGATGAGTGTGTGTGCATCGCGTCGTGTCGGGTGTTCAGTATGTGATTCTGATCAATAGTAAATAGTACATTTGATTTGACTCAACATGCGTCGCGTAGCGTCGGGTGAGGTCGCGTTTTTAAAGTCTTTGAAGTTAGCGGTCAGTATTTCTAGTTCCTAACTTATCACTGTTAGTTTTTCCATTGTCATTTCTTTAATTATAACCAGTGCCGTCTTTGACCTAATGGGAGGCCTTGGGCATATTAGAATAATGGGACCTAGGGACTTTGTATTTGATCTGAAGTGGGCCCCAATCGATCGTGGGGCCCTGGGCACTTGCCCAAAGTGCCCACTGGGAAAGAGGGGTCTGAATATTACTTCTGACACGCCACTAACACTGCCGTCAATCTGTTTTATATCCCAAGATACTGACAATGGTCGTGACAAAGATTTTTAATAAATACTCATTTAGTTCTTAGTTCTTTCTAATCAACATGAACTTTTTCGAACTTCTTAAATATTTTCAATACTGAATTTCTGAATTTTTCATATTTTCAATACTCATATTCTTTTGTTAATAATAACCAATTTGATTTATAAGTAAAGCAAAAAAAAATCTTTGAATAAATTAAACATTTTATAATGATAATATCATTCACTGATAAAACTTGCATTTTGCATAAATGCTGCATGTTGCTTGGACTTCTTTGTTTATTGTAATAAAGGTAGATAAATGCTCAAAAGATTTCGTTTGAAGAAAGCTTCTGGCCTGTTCAACTGTGACCTGACCTAAAAGCTTATTTTAAATGTCGCATTTGTTCTGTTTTTTTTTATTGCACGATAGCCTATAGACGCTGGCGTTACCTAAAATATAACTTTAATATATTTATAATTCTGACGACGCAGCCTAAAAAGGATGCGAAACGTCAAAACAGTAATAAAAGGAGAAAGAAAGCAACGGAATGAATGACGCACAACGTATCTGTCAAAATCTACATTCAAAATGGCGGTTTGCATTTCGTTTCACGCGTTTGTTTAATTTTGCTTTAAAGACAACAATTATTATTATACAAAACTAATATAAAAATTACGTTCCGTTCCACCCATTTACAATTTTATTTTACGAATGTTTGAAAATAGCTTTAAAATATTTATACGCAACTCCGGCAACTAAAGTTACTTTAGGGAGTCAAAAACGATATTACTTTAACACCTTACACATCCAGAAGCCTCAAGTTCAGGCGACTTGTTTCTAAATCCAACCCAAGACACATTTTGATCGCGTGTTTTATTTAATCAAAAATATAACTCCCACCGTTGCCTACCCTGACCCAATCCTCGTGGAGTTCTCTACATTAACTTCTGATAGTGATTTGCTTCTGGAGGTGAGAATAGCTCCATCAGGATTCCATGGCAGGAGATAGGACTAGGATAAGTACTGCCACAAGCGTCTATAGTCTATGATGCCCACTTTCCTCGACGGGACAATTTGCTATTGTTTACCGATCTTTTTATATAAAACTAGCTGACCCAGCGAACTTCGTACCGCCATAAAAATAGGGGCAGGTGGTAGAAGAGAAAATTTAGGGTTATATGTATTTTTTAATACCACATTATAAAAAAAGAAATAGTGTCCAAAAAAATTTTAGGGGTGTGTAACGTAGTGTTCTATCGATTTCCTGGGATAACATTCGTTCTAACCCATATGAGAACACTACGTTACAATACCCAATAGTTTGAATTTTGACGCGAAGGCGCATTGTAGGTTTCAGAACACTACGTTACAGGTGGACAACCATTATCACTTAAGGATATGAAAAATAGATAGTAGCCGATTCTCAGACCCACGGCATATGCATATAAAAATTCATAAAAATCGGTCAGGCCGTTTCGGAGGAGTATGGTTACTAACAATGTGACACCAGAATTTTATATATAAGACTAGCAAACCCAGCGAACTCCGTTTCGCCACCAGATGGCTTCGTTTTATGTAACATTTCGTTTGGTGATTAAAAGAAGTTTTTTTTTTTTTAGTTTTTCCTAAATTTTCTTTGCTATAAACCTCACGGAGCCCGAGACCTTTCCAACGAATGCAAAACCCTGGAAATCGGTTCGTGCGTTCTGGAGTTATAGCGTCAGGAAGGAAAACCCGACTTATTTTTATATAGTAGATAATCATATACAAACAAAGAAAAGATCACACACGTCTTACCTATTTCACGAATATATCACGTTCCAATAAATACATACAGGGAATATCGACAGCAGATAATGTCATATTGTTTCTTCAACAAAACTGGCAATTTCGGTAGGTACTATTTCAAGTCGTTGTTTCGTTAAGTAGAATGTGAATGTTATATTACATAGGAAACTAATGGGAGGCCTTGGGCATATTAGAATAATGGGACCTAGGGACTTTGTATTTGATCTGAAGTGGGCCCCAATCGATCGCGGGGCCCTGGGCACTTGCCCAAAGTGCCCACTGGGAAAGAGGGGTCTGAATATTACTTCTGACACGCCACTAACACTGCCGTCAATCTGTTTTATATCCCAAGATACTGACAATGGTCGTGCCAAAGATTTTTAATAAATACTCATTTAGTTCTTAGTTCTTTCTAATCAACATGAACTTTTTCGAACTTCTTAGATATTTTCAATACTGAATTTCTGGATTTTTCATATTAGAAATTAGTAGAATGTGAATGTTATATTACATAGGAAACTATTTTTTTTTTTTAGATAAACAATTTCGCAGCCTTTTCAGGTCTGCATCGTCAGAATAATGATTTTTTATTTACTGTGTCGAGCTACCTTCGAAAGACTTTTATCGAGCGTTCTGATATTTAATTGGAAGATTTTAGGCGTTAAGCTGTTGGTTCCGGCTGCATCTGCAGTCGTTAGCACCCGCCAATCCGCACTGGGCCCGCGTGGTGGGTCATGGTCCGATCACCCTATTCCATCCATAGGGAAGGCCTGTGCCCCAACAGTGGGGGCATTAATAGGCTGATGATGATAAGGTGAGGCTGATGATGATAAGGTGAGCAAACTCTTTTGTTATGTGGAGAAGGACCCAGGGAGGGTTGAACACTTAGGGTGTTCGCTGGTTGTTTTGGTTTGGTCGCATTATACTTAAACGTTTAGGCGCTATGCAGACGACGGGGCGGGGCGGGCCAGTCAATTTCGCCGCGAATAATCCACAAAGTGAATCCTATACTTCAAACGCGCACAGAGGGCAAAAAGACCGCGCCTTGGGTGCCCCGCGGGCAGTGGCGGCGCGGCATGTCCGCGGCTGCCCGCCGTGGATCATACAAACCAGTTTATATGCAGTAACGCAGACGGCGGCGCGGGGTGGTCAGCTCAGTCCGCGCCACGCGCTTTTTAGTGATGGCATATTCACTAGAACGAACGTCCTGAACTGACCGCCTCTGCCCGTCGTGTGCTTTGTGTACGCGGCGCGGGCAGCCGCAGACATCGACGGGCAGACGCGGTCTTTATTGCTTCGCGGACAAAAAGCCCGCCCCGCGCCCCGTCGTCTGCTAAGCGCCTTAAATGCAGCTTGCAAACCCTTGTATCTTTGGGTTCTTTAACAGAGCCATTGTGTGGTTTGTAGTAAATCATGTAGTAACATTTTATATTTCAAACGACTCTTTTTATAATATAAATTGTAAATAGTTTATATCTTATGTAAGCCACTGTTTAAATGGATGTGCTTGTAAATATTGCGCATAAATTTACAAGTGTATTTTAACATTTATTACCACAACTAGCGGCCCGCCCTCACTTCGCTTCGGTGTAGAACTGAAGTGTTCATCTATGATTCTTCTTATACCTGCATGCAAAGTCTCGGCCCGATCGGTTTAAAATTGACAAAGTTTAATACAAACTTTCATTCCCTATTTTATCCCCTTGGGGGTTGAATTGATCAAAATCCTTTCTTAGCGGGTGCCTACGTCATAACATCTACCTGCATGCCAAATTTCAGCCCGATCCGTCCAGTGGTTTGGGCTGTGCGTTGATAGATCACTATGTCAGTCAGTCAGTCACTTTTGAGAGCACCCATGAAAGAACCATTTTTTACTTCTTTTTAATGTGATCTGGAATGCAGTATCGGAAATATTTATCTTGGCTACAAATTGACCTTGCAAAGCATACTCCGCTCAACACCATTTTTACTTAGGTTACTTTAAATGCGGCTTTATCGTTTTTGCATTCATCCATAAATTGGTACTTACATGCGAACTTCCAGTGGACCGAGTATCCCAGCACGACGCCACTGCGGCGCTGTACCGAGCATTGGTAGACTCCTTCCGTGCCGTTTCTCTTGCGCACCACCTCCGCGCTGTTCTCACCGCCAAAACTGCTGGCAAATAGTAAATCATAAAACACCATCGAAAATTCGGATTGTCGATGATCCCAAGCCGGCGGAACATTTCAAGCCTTTGGAACCGCTCAGGGATTTTGCAAGCTGGCGGAAAATTTCAAGCCTTTGGAACCGCACAGAGACTTTGCAAGCTGGCGGAAAATTCCAAGCCTTTGGTACCGCGCAAGGACTTTGGTTGCCTGTGCTTATTTTACAGGCTCTTTAATGGTGAGTGCTCAGAGGAATTTACCCACAGCACTATTTTACCACCGCACCACCCTTCACCGGAGTCGCGTTCACCCATTACCTGGAAACACTGAAGTCCACAACTGTTCGTCTCCAAATATCTTTTGTTCCACGGATTGTAAAATTATGGAAGACGCTGTTCCCCCAGCACAATAACATAGTCCGCTTCAAGAGAGGCATAAATAGTGTTTCGTCATCATTTAACTTAATCGTATATTTCTCATGGGACCTCTGCTCCGGTGCTGGTCGAAATATAGAGTGTTTCACGAAAGGCAGTGGCAAGGCTGTACCACTGGCATTGCTGGTGTCCATGGGTGACAGTGACCACTTAACATCAGATGGCCTGTCCGCTCGTCTACCTTCGCAGGCAATAAAAAAAAACTAATTATACGGCTGACAGGTAACAGCAACAAACAGGAGCAGGACGCCTAACATTGGTGCTGACCTCCTAGAACCTCTGCTTGGGCTGGTCGTCAGCGTCCAGTGGAGGGGAAGTCCTAACATCTATACTAACATCCTGGAACCTCTGCTACGGGGCAGGTTGTCAGCGCCCAGGCGAGGGGCAGCCTAACATTTGTACTGACGTCCTGGGACCTTTGCTCCGAGTCTGGTCGTCAGCGTCCAGAGGAGGAAGAGGTCTAACATTTGTACTGACGTCCTGGGACCTCTGCTACGGGGCTGGTCGTCAGCATCTAGTGGAGGGGAAGGCCTAAGATCTATACTGACCTCCTGGGTCCTCTGCTCCGGGGCTGGTCGTCAGCATCTAGTGGAGGGGAAGGCCTAAGATCTACACTGACCTCCTGGGACCTCTGCTCCGGGGCTGGTCGTCAGCGTTTAGGGGAGGGGGAGGCCTGCGCTGCACCCTCCCTTCGTCCGCCACCACGCACGGCACCACCCCGCGTGGTGGCGTCAACCACGTTATTTTTTCATCTGTCGAAAAAAACAAACACTGTTGATTACTTCTTTAGCAATGAAATTTAAAAAAAAGCAGGCAAGGTTTAAGTCGCGGCAATCTCCTTACATAAACACATGGACGGCTATATTTTGCACGGAAACGTAATGGTAAAAATCTTTCCCCAGGGTGTACAATAAGCAAAACTTGATCAAAGAAAACAAGTCTTTTAAATGACATTTGGAATAAAGAGAATAAAAGATCCTACGATATTTTTAACTTTGGTCATTATTATTAATTTATTGTTATAAAGGCCATAGTATCACGTGTTCTGTCAATATTTCAGATGTCTACCTATTTCAGTTGAAGATATAAAGCCCTGTGATAGAAAACGGAGACATATTAAATTAATAGTTCTCCATTTGTCACCCTTCAGACAAGAACCTTAAAATATTTTGTCATGAAGGAGCATCACGTGAAAACAGCTAATTTGGCTCAAATTATTAAGGAATTAATTTGAGGAATTCTCCTTCCATTATTTTTTTCAAACTCTCAAAATTTCTTTATTGCCAATTTATTGCTTGTGATGGAGCTTAATGTTTTATTCTTGTCGGCACGGTGTCTCGCCACACTCAAAAATGGTAAAAAATCATAAGGAACTCCATAATTAGTTACCTAATTAATACAAGCCCGGTAACCGCACAAGTGAGTAGGGTTTAACAAGTGCCATAATCTCACGTACCCACTGTGCGGTTACCCGTAGGTACTACGGCTGTTAGCAGGTCGCAAATTCTATAGTACCTACCGAATTTGCGTGGAGATATTTTTATCCCAGTACCAATAGACAATACAGCGTTATTATTATCAAAATTGTAACTAATCTGCCTGTAACCGGATGTTACTACAAATTGCGTGACCAAAATAGACACAGAATTACCGCTAAAATTATTTTAAAGGTAAACAACACCACTTTAACTGGCTGTGACTGAAACACTGCTTAATGAGCCGTCTTCAGTCAATTTTGGATTTGCGGTTTGCAGCACGCGCAGTTGCGGTGCGTTTAACCGCATAGTACATACATACTCTTAGTGTCGCCGCACACGGGCCACCAAACCACAAAACGCCGCCACCGGCATATTTCTTGTAGTTTTCATACATTTTATATGGACTCGCCAAACACGGTACGCCGGTTGCCGCCACACGCTACAAATCGTCGTTGCTCGCTTCTTGTGGCCCGCACCGGTCACTTAATGCGCCGATACAAAACTCCGCCACACGTCACTCGCGCGATTCCCCACTCCTCTCTCCTTTACCTTAGTCGGCCGCTGTCGCGCGCTTCGGCCACTTTAGTAGCCGCTTCTAGCTTCTCGTGGGGGCGTTTGTGGCTGTGGCGTGTGGCCCATGTGCGGTGACACTTATATGCCTTCCTTCTGTAGAAGATTTCTCTACACCACGTATAATACAAAGAATCGTTTCAGCACAAAACATATTGATCCCAAACAAATTAGATAAATTGATTTGGTTGAATTAATTACAAATAGAAATTAACAAAACTATTTTAGCAATAATAAAAAAAGAACCCATAAAAACAAACGCTATATTATTAGTCACAACAATAAAATTGTATTGTATGCATTATCACCTGCAATTACTATTTTTTAATCTATACTATTCTAAAAAGAAAAAATAATAATACATAATTATTCTTTATCTAAAAAAAATCACCTCTGAAATCAATGTAATCCAAAAATAGATCTCGAAAATTAATTACATGAAAAAAAAATGTCAACCTACGTTTTATTTACATGGTATATTTGTATCGTCAACAAAATGAAAATAATATAACTCCGCACAGTATCAAAACAAACATTTTATTTACAAAAACATTTTCGAGACGAACTCACGGATTCATTATTAAATACGACATCATTTGTGTGCCAGGGTTGTCAACTTTATATTGATGCTCACGTATTAAATAATTAATTAAAGCATTTCTGTTCTGAGACTGTAAACAATGAAGAGAAGAGAGCAATCTAGATTCATGATTATTCATTCCATCCAGACAGAAAATTTTTGTTCTTAATTATTTATAGACACAGATAAATATTTTGAATACAGAAATGTTTAAGCTGAAAAAAACATCACTCACAGGACTCAGAATCGGTGATTTATCAGGCTAAAAACAGCGCCGATAATAATAACTTTTATCGAATGTGTCATAGTCAAAAAGGTACATATTATCCGACATTCTACGCTGTATTGATCTGGAAATTAAATTTGTATCAATTCAGAGTACCTTTAATATGCGATCAAAATAATTACAAAACACTTTTTCATTTCATTTTTCCTTTTTTAGGGTTCCGTGCCCAAAGGGTAAAAACGTGACCCTATTACAAAGACTCCACTGACTGTCTGTCACCAGGCTGTATATCATGGACAAGAATGAGAACTAGACAATTGAAATTTTCACAGTTGTTAAATTTCTGTTGCTGCTAAAACAACAAATACTAAAAACTGAATAAAATAAAGATAAAAAAGGGGGTTCCAAAGAACACAGAAATAGGTTAGAAAGGCCTTGTGGGCGGGGCAGGCGCGCTACAGTTATGTGAGTGCAAATGCTCATAACTTGGTCAAAACTTGGTTCTGATTGCGTCGTTGCTCTCGGGTGTGAGCGCTGATTAGTTCGATTGTTTTATGTCGTGTCGTTTGATTGGCTAATATCTATTATTCGCCCCCAATACACTATGGTCTATGATCACCCTTCTAACCTCTTTCTGTATTCTGTGGGGGTTCCCATACGACAGACTTGATTTTTGCTTGATAATATAATAATAGTGTCTAATATTCCGACTTGTACGGCTTTTTTTTTAATACTTCATATATTAATATAAATAACATACAACAAGATATTACACAAAACAAAGTCGGTAACCCTAATTGCATATAAAAAAATAGTCATCCTTGAGATTGATAGAATTGTTTGGCAGAAGTTTGGGCGGAGGAAAACAGTAAACAATGCGAAGATTGATCGAGGGGTGTATTCAAATTTGTCTATGTTTGTCTATGGACTTGACGATGATCCACTATCGTAACTCTATTTAGCAGGAGTTCGGGTACAAAGGAAAAATTAGGAAGGGTTCTCGAAGAAAACAGTCATTCAATATCACAAGTCTGTTCACAACTTTACACCGTACATTGGACGGTATTATTCTTTCAAGTGGTACTTCTTTTCAGACAAATGTAAATGGAAAAATCCTAATGAAACGATGAAACGGAAACGCGTCACGAGCGTCACGCGACTACAGGGTTAATTTTAAAACACCAACAACCTCTTAGGCCTACTTGTACGTAAATCTTGAGATAACAAAATAACTCCGAGTTTACTAACTCAAAGTTAACTTAACATTTTTTAACTGAAACTTTATCTTGCATGAACAGGAAATAACCCAAGGTTCACTAACCCAAAAAAAAGAGTGAATGATGAATGACATAAGCATTGTTCTCCTTTTCACACAACAGTATCTTCCATATGTCTCTTTCGTAGTGTCAAATTTGAAAAGACGTTGTGTTTATGGGCGTTAAAGTTGAATGGCGTCCTGTAATTTGTCTGTCAAATAGATGTTTGTATATCGATTGCATGGTGTTTTTAAAGTACCTAAGTAAGTTACGCACTACCTTGTAAGTTTGTATTTAGTGACAATAATTTCGTGCGGTTTTATTTTGTAAAATGGTGAAGAAAAGTCGTTTATGTGCCCCGAATTTAACAAGTAGTGACAGTTCACTTCTATGTGATATTTTATACAAATATAAAAATATTATTGAAAATAAAAAAATGAGGGCACTACTCTTCTTCAAAAACAAAAAGGTTGGCAGGATATAATGGAAGAATATTATGCTGTTACTACTGGTCATTATCGCTCAAAAAATCGGTCAAAAAATATGTACTTATATGGTCGACAATTTTTTCGTCATCATCAGAAAACAAAAAGTAATCAATCATTCAGAAATAAATAAAATAAAATGTTATCTTTATAAAAACCTTTAACAATTTTGACTTTTTAAATCTCGAGTTAGCAATTTAACCCTCCAACTTTGGCGGGTTAATTATTTAACCTAAGCTTTAGTGTTAACTCTTGGCAGTGCAAGAAAAAATATTTTTTTAACCCCTGTTCAATAGTTCAATCGGAGATAAAAAAAATAACCCTGGAACGTGCAAGTGGGTAGGGGGTGATTTTACCCATCAACAGGAACAACTTTTACTATGGGACCAACGCTGCAATCGCGAATAAAAAATCTGCTGTTTCATACGAATGTGCATCAGCTAATCGACCGAAATGTATGAAACAGCAGATTTTTTTTTTCGCGGTTTCAGAGTTGGTCCCATAATAAAAGTTGTTCCTGATGATGGGTAGAATCACCCCTTAAGAGGTTGTTAGTGTGTTTTAAAATGAACCCTGTATATACAGGGTGAAATTAAATGTTTTAATGAAACTTCGTGGGATTGTTGGGTTACGTGTATAGAGTATGCCTGATTTTATATATATATATGTATATATATATGTAGGGGGGATGCGTGCGCAGCTCTTCCCGACGAGCATGAAAGTTGGAGGGTAACTCGGCGAAGGCTGAAACGCTACGAGCGTCACGACACGCAACAACATTTAAGTCGCAGGGATATGATAAAAACAGAGATTTGGTCAAACCCCAAGTGATTCGAACAAACCACAGAGGATGTTAAAATAGCAACAGAACTTTTTCATTTCCCTAAACAAATCTAGTTAGTTGATCAAAACAAACCGGTTCAGAGAAATGGCCAAAAAATTCTGTCAGTGCCATATTATAACAGTAAAAAATACAATGTGATGGAAGTAGGTACTACAAAGTTTTTGAAGTTATACTTCTTTAGGCGCGTTATGAAAAAATGATGAGAGTGAAATTTTAAGATGCGCGCGCATCATTGTAACACAAAATTTTAACAGCATGAAGTTGGTCGCTTTAGCGACCAACTTCATGCGTTACTTTTGTGTTTACCGCACAT